GGGAAAAAGGACATGCTACGTAAAAGTTAAGAGGGGGGTGTAACGACGTATGACTGTGGGCGGGAGTTCCATGCCACGGCTCCACCCGTAGTTACTACTGCGCAGACTCTGGCTCCAAATTTGCAAGATGGCAGCCTCCACAAGCGGGGTATTTTGGCTTCATTTTTGCACAATGGTAGGAGGCGGAGTCTCGCCATCAATCTTTTCTACAGTCAATGGTTTGGACCCCTGTTACCGAAGCCTAATATGGTGGAGGTGGAGCAGCTCGTTATGAGTCGGAAGACCCTGGTGTTGCGCTTCTAGTTATTTTTAATTTAGCTATATTTGTTATTGGATTATTACAGAGGAAAACGAACTGAATGCAAATGCTTCTGTAAACTCATTTTATTCATTTTAACAAAACAAAAGCATTCAACACACCACAGACAGCTTCAATCTATGAACTGCCCTTCCAGTACATGTAATAAAAGTCTCTTATGCTACATACCCGTCACGGTGACCAGATCCCAACATACTACATGTGGGGCAAACCGTTTGTTTTGTTACTGAAGAAATAAATACAAATAATTACACAAAAACTATGCTGGTGTCAGGGTTGGCATCGGTGTGATAGGAATGACAATTTATTTGAAACCGATGCGTATGTAACGAGCTTTCTAGTCTTTGTGCACTCCTATATTTCCTTATTCTACAGTCCTAATACTCCTACTTGTCATTTCTGTTTGATAAGGACGCATCCACGGATCGCCACATCTCTGTCTGAGCCACATGTTTCTTAAAATGCAGGGCCTTGGTTGGAGTGGAGGGAGGCAAAAGGATAAACATGCCATGCAGTCCCACGTGAAGTGGGGCACCTGGTCACCTTGGATTCATATCACTGGTAGAAAAATAACTCTTCACATGAAGATTTCCTTCATTTTCAAATCCCCCTCTCGACAAAAGCAATGTTATCACTTTATTATGGAAAGGTTATAAAATAAACTAGGCAACCCTGCTTTTGTCACTAGTATATACATCCTGTTATTGTAAACAACACATTATAGAAAACACCACAGGGCGGCAGTATTGCCTTACTGGTTAAATAGTGTGGAGCGTACACTAGATTTCATTAAACTTTTATGGAGTATCCTGCGGGCTTATCGTTGACGATGGTATGCATTGTTTTCTTTCCCCAGCACATCTTATGGCACAAAGTCCTTAGGTCTGATCATCATCCTCACTCTCTTAAAAGACTGTCTCTCATTGGTGGGGTAGTACTCTGATAATATGTTGTGCCATGTCCCCCAGAAAATCCCATTCCGCACACCTTTGTACCTCCCGTTGTAATATCTCCCGTTGAGGTTTGCGCTCATGCAGGCGTCAAACCACCAGCCGGAGTTGTAGTAGGCCCCGCAGTTCCCGGAGGGGTAGCGGTCGTGGTCCCTGTCCGGCGTGGTGAACGCCCTGTTGCTGTGATCGTACTTTTTGCTGAAGCGGAGAGCATTACCTGCGGTGCCCGAGTAACTGCCTACTGTCAGTCTATAGCGCAGGCGTTCGCTGGCCACCTTGAACTGCTCGTACTGCGCATACCCCGTCAACCCGTCAAAATCCTCCAGCTCCACCCGCAGCACCATCTCCCTGTCGCGGGTCAGCAGGTGGATGATGTTGTTGCCCAGCCAAAACTCCCCTCTGTCAAGCTCCCCGAAGCCGGATTGGTATTCTGCCCAGGTGCGGTTGAAGTTCACGCTGCCGTCCTGGCGGCGCTGCAGGACGGTCCACCCTCCACCCTCCTGCTCCATCTCGCAGTACACCGAGAAGCTACTAGTGCGGAGGTCAGGGGTCACCAGGTAAAGCCCGCTTTTTGTTTTTCCCCTGAGCAGGTGGTCCGAGCAGTCTCTCGGTAGCATGGTAACTGTAACACAATGGAAGAAATGACACATTTCTTAAAAAGCCAGTAAGCCCTGCTTTATTTAAGCCCTGTTTTTGCTCTCATATTCCAGGTGATATTATCATCTTGCAGCTGGGATTTATTCGTGAAATGAGCTGGCTGAGGTCACGAGTGCATCAGGTCAGTGCGCTTTTCCACCATAAAAAGAGTTACTGTGTGTGAGGGCCTTCAAAGTGGACCTCCACGGTAGATGAAAAGATATCGTTTAAAACAGAAATGGTGTTGGAGGCATACACGTGAAGGAAGTTTAATAATTTCACCTTTAAAATAATTGATTGTCTAGTCCAACTTTCCTATATTTTCCTCCTGACTTATAAAAAAGGTGAAATGAGGCAATAACAGGCAGTTAGAGAAAGAAAAGCGTGCATTTAAAATCCTATTAACCTTTAGTTTTTACTCTATGATGTCATTGATGCTGGTAAATGTTATTTTAATTAATTGCTGGGGGGAAAAATAGCCACTTGTTGAGTTCACTCTCTGTAAACAGCTCTCCACAAAAGGATGGTTTAAAGCTGTTGGTCTTTGCATAGTTGTGGTTTTATCTTTAGTCATGACATTCATTTGGAGCGACACATTTCGCACACATGCAGATTCCTCCTTTGACAAATAATAGCCAGTGATGTATGATACAAATCTGCCCACATAATTATATTATGAGGATCATTAGAGTTTACTATGAGATTGTATTGCTTAATTCCTTTCAGCTTAGGTCATTATTAGTGGTCTTATTTATGTCTTTTTGAGTAGTAATAAAGCAATAAGCATTCAGATACTAATGTGGCACAATTCATTGCACATTTCTTGGCCTTGAGGCCTCGAATGTATGTGTGCTTCGCATTTCAAGCCCAGTATAATCTGCATTGATCACTAACATGTCTTGCAGCTGACTGGCAGAAACAGTTTACATTTCACAAGCACACAGAGACAAAACAGGATCAGTGTGATAGAATAAAACAGAATCTCTTGCCTTTAGGTGGTTTGTCTGTTGGCAGTTTGCCGTCCGTGTTGTCAGGCCTGATGCCTCCCTGGTTCTCTTCTGAGTGGTCTTGGTGATGCATGTTTGGTGGACTGCCATTAGGACTCAGGCTGTTATTGAAGAAAGCGGCCACCTGGTTGATTTTCACTCGTAACTCACGTGCACTGGGAGTGGAAGCCTCGGCAGCGAGCTCGGGGTGCTTGGGGCCAGGGGTGGTCGCAGTTGTTGACCTGAAGTCAGGGCTGGGTGGAGAGATAATGTGAGATATGGGAGAAGGAGATGTAGAGAATGCAGGAGCTATTTCTTCCATCTTGTGATGTTTCTCAGTTTGTGTGTCTGAGCCAGAATTTGTCTTTGACTTTGAGGATCCTGGAGTGATGATTTTGTTTGGTTTTGTTGTCATTGGGATTGATGCTGGTTGACTGGCTGTTTGTGGCCTCAGATCAGACACAATCCTGTTGTTTGGGCTCATAGTGGAATCTTCAGGCAGACTTTGAAGGTGAGGGAAGGCTCCATTTTCCAGACTGTTGGAGGTCTTTGGACCTGGAGTGACAGTTTTCCTTAGACTGGGATTGAACTCTCTGTCCCCTGAGGAATGAGTCACTTCAGCAGTATGCTTTATGGGGCCAGATGTAGAAGGCGTGTTGATTTGAGAGGTTTGGGTGTGATCTGAAGTAGTCCAGCTGATGTTAGGTGGATCTGTTTTGGTCTTTGGACTTAGCTTTGGTTGCACTGCTGGTTTTGGCCTTTGAACTGGTGGTGCTCCTGGCCTAACTGTAGGCATGCTTCGTGGTCGGTAAATGAAGGGAAGCCTTGGTTTTGACGTTCTATTGGACTCTGCCCGAGGTGCAGGCTTGGCATTCAGATTAGGCGTTTCTCCAAGCTTAGGTGTTTTAAAGTTGTGACTGGTTTCTGGTGGTTTGGGGCCAGTTTTGGGCCTTACATTCGGTTTTGGCTTGAAGCTTGTCCCAGGTTTTGTATGTCTTGGTAGGTTGGGCCCTTGATCAGGTTTGGGTTTTGTAGGGATGTTCTGTCTGGTTTTAGGCTTTTGGTTGGGGGGTGTTTTCATGGTCTCAGGCATGGTTTTCTTTCCTGGTGTTGGATCTTGATTAGAATTAGACATGTGTGATGGATTTTCATCAGATGTCTCCTTTTGTTTAGGTTTTTCTGTGTAGCTAGCTGTTGGACTTTCTTTTGATTCAGGCTCTTGGACAGGTTTGGGTTTTGTAGGGATG